ATATTTCTATTTCACAACATGGGTTTATGGAAAAACCATCAACGATCACCAATCTTGTTACTTTTTGTGAATACCTTTCTGAAAATATGGATACGCAAATACAAACTGATGCAATTTACACAGATTTCGGTAAGGCATTTGATTCCATTGATCATTACAAACAAAGGCTAGAAATATTTGGAATGAGTACTTCGTTGTTAGAGTTATTCAAATCATATTTATGGAATCGCTCTCAGTTTGTTGAATTTCAGGGTGTAGGTGTCAAATATATTGTTCCAACTTCTGGAGTGCCACAAGGGCCAAATTTGGGTCCGTTATTATTTCTCATATTTATTGATGATTTACCTGGGCTTCTTAACTGCAGCAAACTACTATTTGACGATGATCTTAAGCCATCTTGTAAAACCTGACATTCACACTCTAGTCGCTTGGTGTAAACAAAATCGTTTAGAATTAAATTTTGATAAATGCTTCCATTATTACGTTTACCACGTCAAAAAGTTCAATTATCTTTTTTTTATATTATAAATAATAACTGTTTGATTCAGAGTTAAATTTTTCCGAACACATAACATTAATAGTGGCCACCGATTTCAAAACCCTAAGTTTCTTGTTCCGTAACTGCAAAGATTTTACAAATATCCAGTGTTTAATTGTACTATATCATGGTTTAATTAGATTTAAATTGGAGTATGATTGTTTAGTTTGGTCACCTATCCATAAAGTATATATACAATAGATTAAAAACATTCAACGAACATTTTTGAAATATCTAGCGTTCAAAGAAGATGGATTATATCCTTATAGAGGCTTTAGCCAAAATATTCTCGTAGAAAGATTTCAGGTTACGTTTCTCGAATAACTATATTTCTATTAAATTCTTACATAATTTAATGAATAATAAAATTGATTGCACAAATCTGTTGTCTCAAATTAACTTCCACGTTCCAAGATTAGGTTCAAGAAATTCTCCACCAACAAAAATCAGTTTGTTTAAATTTTTGACGAATTTCTTATGTACTTATGTATATCACTAGATTTGGTAATTCGTAGACAATAGTGTAAAGGTGGGAACATTTAAGGTGGGAAACTTAACTTTTACAACTACCACAGAATTATCATAAAAGCATTAACTTCTGCCAAATAATATTTTTTACCCGTCGAAGAGGAGCGAAATGAAGATAAGTTAGGCGAAACGACATCCTAAAAAGGACCAGACAGAAAATACCGACGTCTTTTGACACGAGTGTAATATCTTTAAGATAAGCTTATGGCGGCTCTAAAATTTGTATCTACTAATTTAAATTTCACCAACATTTTTTTTCTCGAGCCATAACTACATTTCCCTGATTATAATTGGGAGATTTACGTTGACTAGAGTCATTGCGACAACACACTCTTGTGTCGAAGTTTGTTTGCAAAGCGAGTAGAATGCGACCTTTACGTAATACAACACGAACCGACGTAAATTTGGCATACTCATAAACTTTGAGGACTACTGTTTCGATTGCAAAGTTTGGTACACAACTTGCTAAGTACTGTTCAGGTTACAGTTTAGTGTTTTTAGAAAAAAAAACCGTAAAATAACTATTGTGTTATCAATCATTATACCTTTCACTACGTCTTTCCCGTATAGACTTAACAAAATTCGGTTTGCACGTTCAGAGTAAACTTTACAAAACTGGTTTTTACCATCACTTGCATTGATTTTTTTTTATAAATGAATAGATACCTACGGAAGCGCCACATATCACACGACAATGTTGCGTGTGTGATTTTAGATCTAGATTTTCAGGTAATCTTTCGACTGTTCAAAGTCGTGTACTCACCTGTTTCATAGTGTTCCTCTTGTTGCCACTAGAAATGTGCAAAGTCCCACAACACATAATAACGAGCAAAACCTAACAGCAATTTATAGAAAACTACATAAATATTTCGTAGTAATTGACGCCAACTTGTAAACATCACGATTTAATTTCATTCCTAGGCAACACTAAGTTAATGAATTTTACTCAAAAGCTAGCACCTTGTTGTTCTAATCTAGCACCAGCTAGCACCATAAATCGAAAAGCTAGCACTATCTTATTATTGTCTAAGTTCACGCTAACCCCCCAATATAACTTAACGACAACGAAAAGCTAGCACCAACTAGCATCATTAATCTTATAGCTAGTACCATTAAGCAAACTAAACAAAAGATCACTGTTTATAGTGGTCATTGTAATAATAATAATCACAACCACAATATAACTCACAATTACAAGATCGGCAATTGCTCTTTAAGGGCTGTTTGAAAAAAAGCTGCAAATTTCGAAAATTCCACGTTTAATATTAATCACTATTGTCATTCCCCTCTCCTCCTAAATTACTTTTATTCCACGTGGATGGTTTTTGTCCGAGAACGCAATCGGATATTGACAGAAGTAAACCAAAAAATTGGTCTAAAGAGTTTAGACAGTACTTCCCTAGCTGTCGGAAACATAACGACTGCATGCCTATTATGTTTTTTTGTCATTATAATTTTGTAGGGGGGCAATTTAAAACAATTTTGCTATAACTTCATCAACATTTTTGCAAGGAGACGTATATCAGTTTGGATAGATAGTAGTAGTGTAATGCTAAAAAAAAGTACTGTATTCCCAAATTTTCGGGAAAATGAATTGGGTCGTGTTGAATATTAATTTAGAATCAATAAAATAACGAAACAGTTTACTCACGTATGCCGCGTGTATTAGCAAAGGCGACTCAAAATCATTTATGTATAAGGATCTTCAACACTTGTTGAGATTGTGGACGTGAGAGTCAAACAGAGAAACTGCAAACAATACCGATGATCGCCCAGACTTTTTTATTGCTTAAACTTTTATTTTAATTTTTGATGGTGTAATTCGCAATTGGTTGATTATAACTTGTCTATACCACATTCACGGAACCTAGTCAGCGTAACAAAACAAATGCACGTCTGTAATGTTAAAGTAAATGTAAATAAGCGTGCTAGGCCTATGTTTTAAACGAGTTTTTACATTGAATGGAATGATAAATCACAAGTACAGACTCATCATATTTTGCACATTTAAGATAGGATATATCCAGCAGAATTTTAAGATGACGTCATCAATTTTTTAGGGGGGATGAGGAAATATATTTTGACTAAAAAATTTGTTTCTGTAACTGAATTTCAAATTGACGTAAGGAATTTCTTTATGATTTTTCACGAACTTAAACTTGTGAACTTAATAATGTACCGTTAAGTTGGTGCGCCATTTTTTCAGCACCCTGTACAGATTGAGTTCGCGTCATTTATTTTTCACATTACATGCTTCACACATGTCTATAATTTGAGAATATAATTTATCCGTTTATTTATTTATTTTTGTAGTTTAGTAGTACCTACTTGGGAATTCCAGAAAAGTGTGTGATATCTAAAAATACGTGACATATTGAGGCCAGGTAAACAATTTGTTTATAGATTCTAGAGATATGACTGCTCCAGTGCTCCATATTTTTTTGACGAAAAGGAGTCTATGATAAGCGCACGTAGGAGATGATACACACAGAGCTAATATAGAGAGCTAATGTATTGGAAAGAAATAGGACTGTAGTGTCATAAATAATAATTGACAAAGAGTTCGTAAAGAAATCTAACGAACATATTTGTACAATTTGTTACGACTAGCAGTACAAACTATGTTTACATTTTCTACTGAAAAACGTATAAACTACTTTACTACCTTACATATTATAGACCTAGGGATATAATATGATAGATAATAGATTTGGGCGGCAGTCAACATTATGAAAACGAATAATTTATTTCCAAATATACTGCATTTACAGTTCTAAACAGTATTACTGCTAATTCTCTCTGGTTTCCCGACAATAGTTATTCATAGTCTTAACCAAAATTAGGCACCCAAAGTTAGCCACCAATTTTTACCCTCTTAGGGGTTGAATTTCGGAAAATGCTCAAACACGTGTTTCATTATTTGTGTTAAAGAGCATTAACACCAGGTTTTAAGTAACCATTACCATAAAAAAATATTGTTCGAAAGCTATTTCGACAGAACCTCCCTCGCTCTGGTGTAATCAGGCAAATCCAGCTCTTTAAAAAATTAATAAAATTTGATTTACTATTTTCGTTTTGTGATAACCTCTGTAAAGTAAAAAACCAGGAGCATAAATAACGACCTGCAACCCTTGCGCCGTGCGGACAATGTAAAATATATTTAAAGCACTTAATTAACGGGATAAAATGTCCTTCAGCACTAGGTAATAGCAATCTGAAGCTCAAGTGTTTATTTATGTTTATACCTCTAAAGAATGTCGAGTAGAAATTAATTTGATTTGAATGAGTTTGTCTTCTCAAAACACAGGACTAAAATTATTAAATAAACCACAGTCGAACAAAATGTTCTGAATATTATAATTCTTATTTAATCATCATTACATAAAGACGTGCGTGTTCTCAAATTTTCGAGAAAATTGAGTGACCCGTTCTTAATTTTATAAAAAAAAATTCATTCATTTTATCTATAATCATCGACCCGGGTCTGTGAAGCAGAAACTCTACACCTGCTGATTTTAATTACCGATCAACGTACCAATACGTTATCGCAAGTCTGGTCCCCAGGGTAGTTTTGCTATGTAAATATTTGTTTTTAATTGCAAGATAAGTATGTACAATAATATCTTCCTATATATTTATCGAATAAAGTTGATATAAAAAGTCAACATTTGTATACCTATATTCATTTACACATCGTAAAATTGTTAGTATTTTATTAAAGTACCTTCAGAGGTACTGTTGGCGTTAGATAGAACTTTTGGATGTATGTACCTATGTATAATTCATTGAAATAATATGTAAGTGTGCTGATACTGATAAAATCAGTTACTTAATAATGAATTATTTTTTTAGAGAAATTGGCTTTGACGTTATGTTTCGTAATTCAAAAAAAATGATAAAAAATACATGAAAACAATTGAATGTATCAGTATCTGTAGAAGACTGCACACAATACATGTTTATTAAAAATATAATAAGTACTAAAACAAACAGTAAGTAGTTTTTACGCATTATTTAGATTTAAGTTTATAATACTAGAAAGAAAGCAAATACGTAATTATACAAAACTTGTTTGTGGATAAACTTATCATATATTTTGAAGTCACAATTTGTAACATTTTACAATTTACCTTTGAAATTGCAAAATTTAGTGCTCCGAAATCTTGTCATCTCAAAATTTTGTTACGGAAGAACTCACCTGAAATATACGCACAGAATGCTCCTTTGCTTGTGCGTTAACAGGCCACACATATCTTTATTTTAGCTCATGGGATTTATATTACAAATTAAAATTTTTATTTTTTGGAAGACGCCGTTATTACATTTTTTTATAATGACCCCCATAAGCTAAAGTTAATATTTTTCTGGATTGCTAAAATACAAGAAAATAAGTTATATAGCATCGTATGCATGTGTTTCTTGTGAGTTTTTCATGTAAATATTTTTTGATGACGTCAACAACATTTTAGCAAGGACACGTGTAGCAGTTTAAATAGGTGCAGTGTAGTAAAACATGTTGCCGAAATGATATTTTAATATTTGCAAAAATCATAAAAAGGAAACCATACACATGTGCACTGAAAGTTCGAACTTCTATTCTTCCACATGGAAATGTAGAATGACCTCGTAAATATCAGGTGGTGTGGTCTAACTGGACAATTTAATCGCGTGTTTCTGTAAATAAAGCGAATGTATTGATCATTCATCGATAAGTGTATTACCAAAGTTACGTTTAACATATAAAATAATCAAGTACCTGTCCGAACAGTTGCGTGTCAAACCCCGAATATACTAGTGTTTTCGCTGGTGTTTTCACTTATCTCCACCACAGATTGATTAAGTGATTGTAATAACTGTTCTCCAACACAATATTCTAAATTAAATATCGATTCTTTTAGTTGCATATAAAATTATGTGTGTCCTTACTTAATGAGCAAATCGTTATTTGATGTATCGATGCCAGTATATACTTAAAGTACGTCTTCGAGTTTCTAAAAGTTTATTTGCGTAAATAAGGATTACAAATCGTAAATTTGTTACAGTATCACAATGCCAGATTTGATACAAACCGACACCATCTGTCCACCACCACATACCGTTCTTTTGGAAAGCGTGAAGAACAATGATATAAAAACAGTAGAAGCATTAATTAACTCTAATAAAGATCTGCTGACCTACAAGTATATGTTTACTGGGAAAACAATATTATTGACAGCGTGTACCGAAGTTGACGTTGAACCTTTAACTATCCAGACTTTAATTGATCTTGGAGCAAATCTGGAAGGGAACTCAGAATGGAAACCTCTGCATTTAGCTGTTCAAAATCCAAATAATTCTACTCTAGAAGTTATTCTTAGGAATATTGATGCAAACCAAATAAATGATACTGTCGAAGGAAACACCGCACTACACATGTTGATTAAAACCGATGCGATCAGAGAAAACGAAGAAAAATTTTGTAAAAACATCGAGTTGCTTTTGAAAGCTGGAATTAATATTAATCAAGGGGATGGGAAAAACTTGTCTGCTATATTTTGGGCCGCCAAATATGGTTATCGACATGTTGTCAAAACGATTTTGGCAACCAGCGACGTGGACTTAGACAGTCATGAACTTAGAGGTGAGACTGCAAGAACTCTTATTGAAGAAAAAAAAATATATGATGGACAATTGCCAAAGCAGATTATACACCAAATTCCTAAAGACAAACTCTTTTCATTGATTAAGTTGGCACAAGAAGATGAATTCATCAAGTATTTTGAGGAGTTTACAAATTCTAGTGATTTTGTTAACATGGATGATGGCACTTCAACTTTACTACAGTATTGTTGTGAGAGAGGTTTAACAAAAATTGCTAAGTATCTCATAAACAAAGGTGCAAACGTTACCAAAACCATAAAAAACCACGATATAACTCCGTTAGAACTGGCTGCAAAAAATGGCTACTACGAAATATTGGCAATGCTCGTAGAAAAAACGGACGTGGGAGTTACTCCTAAGCTATTTTGTTATTTGCTGAAATACTCTGATGAAGCAAAATTTGACCAAATCGATCACGAAAGGTGTTGTCAAATTATACTTAAAAAGTTGGAATCAAATGAAACCCTCATGGATGTCAACGGAGAAGACGAACTGAAGAATACCCCCATTCATTATTCTCTACGGTATGCCGACGAAGCGACAACTAAAAAGTTACTCAAACTTGGAGCATCTTTAGCTTGTAAGAATCACTTTGGAATCATGCCGATTGAGGATATTAAACCAGAACTTCTGGAACGTCGTCTGGATGATTGCGTTAAATTTAACGTTAAGAATAAGAATGTAGAAAAGCGGGACTTTGAGGTTACTTTTGATTATTGCAGTTTAATTCTCCCTAGAAAATGCAAAAACATTAAATTTGATGAATCTGACCCTGAAGATGTGAGAACTAATCTTAAAATAGCACCTGAAACTGAAGTAATAGCATATATGAGTCGAGCTCCTGAATTTCGGCCATTACTTAAACATCCAGTTATTGTTAGTTTTTTGTTAATGAAATGGCATCGCATTCGTTTATTATTCTACACAAATTTATTATTCTATTTTATGTTCGTAACATCTTTAATTTTGTATATTTTTACTTATTATGCATATTTTGATATGGAAAAGCATTCTGATTTTGTCGATGGACTTAGTAAGTTACCTTGGGTCACGCTTAATCTCACTTTCTGGCTTTTGGTTCTACGGGAAATATTTCAAATGACCGTGTCACTAACAAACTACTTGAAGAGTTTTGAAAATTACGTTGAAATTGTCTTAATGATTATAACTGGAATGATTTTGTATATAGATGGACCTAGCGTTGCTACTAGAAAACAATTGGCTTCTACAGCAATTCTTTTGGGTGCCTTCGAGTTTGTACTGATGGTTGGACAGCACCCCAAACTGTCTACAAATGTTGTAATGTTGAAAACTGTGTCAGTGAATTTTTTCAAACTGTTTTTGTGGTATTCCCTGCTAATTTTAGCGTTTGCTTTAAGCTTTTATATTCTTTTTGCTAAACCATCTGAAGTATCACAGAATATTAATGTCACCTCTACGGATAAAAAATTAGACTTTGCGAGTGTTGAAAAATCTGTCTTCAAAACTATTGTTATGTTAACAGGCGAGTTTGATGCTGCTTCTATTAATTTCCATACGTACCCTATAACTAGCAAACTTATATTTTCTCTTTTTGTTTTCATGATTAGCATTATCCTTGTAAACCTTCTTAATGGTTTAGCTGTGAGTGATACGCAAAGCATCAAAAATGAAGCCGAATTAGTCGGCCATATAGCAAGGGCCCAACATATTTATTACGTCGAAAGCATGCTACTTGGTAATATTTTACCTACAACACTGATGAAATGTGTACAAAGTTTATTTTGCTGTTTTCCGTGGGACAAAAATACCACTTTTACATTTTTTACACCAATAGCTAGGAGAATTTGTATTTTTAAGGCATCACAGAAATGTCAGTTGATCGTTTTCCCGAATAATCATGGTAAAATCTGTTATGAATATGACGTGGCCTCAAAAAGACCGCGGAGTTCTTTGCTTTCTTGTTCACAAAACTGCTCTGATACTTATCTTGATGAAGAAACCGTTAAGAGGATACATGCAATTGTTAAAGCAAGATGTGACAAAAGAGATGAATCTGCCATCAGCAATACAGAAAAATTATATTCTGAAATTGCTGCATTGAAAACGAAATTGGATGATTTCCTGAGCACTTCTATGAAAAATAATAACGAATTTAAACAAAAGGATTCCTAAAATATGAAACTGATTACCCTTAATAAATCCATATTAAAAAAGGTGCCATATATTACTTCTAGATTTTTTTAAGAGTTATGTAAAAGTAATAAAACTTAAATGTAGACCGACATTTTTGTAATTGACAAAAGTAAAGTTTATAATAGTTTATAAGAACCTACTAATCTTTTTATATTTCAATAAACCACTTTAAAAAAACTTTATTTTTTTGTGATAACATAATTTTAGAAATATCTTATATTTAACAGTAGCTATTTACGTAACCAGTTATGAAAAGCTTCATTTCGTGTAACGAGTGTAAATTTTACGAAACGAACGAAGCAAATGAAAAATCTTTTGTGTAACTCGTGTGCATATGTTAAACAATGGACGTATTTACCTGTGTGAAGTAGCAGCACCATACATAATAACTTCGTCTGCGTGTTTAGGCTGCTTCGGGTGTACACTTATTTATCTATTACTCCAAGATCCCAGGACCTCCAGACGTTACTTATTTTCTCACAAATAAAATGTATAGGATAAAGTAGTATTGGTATATACCTTGAGTGTATGCATATCTGCTAGCTTGGGCCGACAGCCAATTTACGGGTACCAAGTGCTGAAGGTAGGTAAAAACAGTACTTACATTTTACATTTCTCAAAGTTTCAGAGCTGATTTTTACAGTTGTTTTAGAAAATATTGTTGAAAATTAAAAATTAATACTGCTAGACACTTTCCGTCGGCGGTAACTTTTACCAGACGCTTTAAAGCTCCCAAAAAAATAATGTAACTTTACTTATAATCTCAGTCTTGATTTTTATATATGACATTTAAGGAACTATTTAAATAATTTTTGCAAGCAGCCAAACCAATCGGAAGGGCCAAACATTCTCCCAGACACACACAAAGAGTCGCTATGTGTATGAGCGCAAGCGTGATTATTAGATAGTTTTATGACATAGCTTTTTAAAATTTACATTATTAATAGTCTAATGGGTATTCAGTAATAATTAAGTAAAATTTGCACGCTTAATTATAACGATAATACCTAATTATAGCATAATTAAATATGAATTCATTTGAACTCGTAATGAAAATTATGAACAAACCGTTGGTGAGTCAATTTAATAAAATAGTAGTTATGATAAGCAAAAACACAATAAATTTATTAACAGGAAATTTCATAATAATTCATTTAAATATTAATCATTATTCATCAATAAGCTGTGATTTTTTTTTCAATCTTCATTGTCAATATCATTAAAGTTTGATAACTCATCATCAATCCAATATTGGTATTAAGAAAAAATGGTCAAATATAAAATATTAGTCAAATTATTACTAAGAAAATTGCAGCATTTATTAATTAAAAGTACAAAAAAAGTCATCACGTTGTTGGTGGATATGATTAGACAAATTTTGGTTCGTGTTTTACTCTCTACATGATATACCTAATGTACACACAAAATTTAACAACAATCGGTCCAGTAGTTTTGGAGATTGTCTGTCTAATCAAAATCCGGACATACAGCAGACAGTCAGTCAGACAGACAGATAGACAGATGGACAGACGGAAATGGGAGACCTGTTTCTTCGATCTCTAGGGGTCATGAAAGGTCGAGAAAACGCGTGAGCCTCAAAATACTCGTAAATTGAAACTTTTTGACTTTTTAAGATTACCTTAGCGATGTGTATTGGAGTAGGAACATTCTAGTGACTGAAGCGTTTCAGTATTGTCTATCTAAAGAAATAAAACAAAATCTGAGGTACTCGGCGAACAGATAATCATCAACGTAATTTAAAAGACATTACATTTGTTTCAGTCGTGGATTACTTGACCACCGACCGATCAATATTAAATACCGAGAGCAAGCTAAGGAAGTACAGTAATTGACTCTATTTGACGAATTACTATTTTCATATTTTCTTGTTGTTTCATGACATTTTAGAGTACGAAAAAGTGGTCTTCCGTTTCCATCTGTCTGTCGTCTGTCTGTCTGACCATCTGTCTTTTTGTCATCTGTAGGTCTCAATTTTTAATAGGCACGTAATCTCCGAAAGTAATGGACCGATTGTTGTAAAATTTTGTATGTATATTAGCAATATCATGAAGATGGTGAAACGGTAAAATAAAGTTGGTTGATCATCCCAGCCTGTCAGCGTATTTTATTGGTATTTAAATATATAGTATGACTTCGGTTAACTGCTATGTGATACCAGGACCAATTAAATCAATAGTGAACATTTTATTGATATGATGAAGATGAATTTTTAAATAGAAGCGAACAAGAACAGCAATTGTTTAAAAGCGCGCCATAAGAAATACTCTCACGTATTACTCGTGTGCGTAGTTGGTTATCTATCTAACAAAAATTTTCAATGTGCATTACACATTTGTATAACTGGATATCTAAAAATGAAATGTTATAAGCGTCGCCTGCGTTGACAGTTGCGCTGATTAAGCCTGCCGAATAGCGAAATTAGACGATATGCAAAATTTGGACACATTTTGCTGAGGGCGCTAGTTATCCTTCGTTGACAGTTGACCAATTTGAATGTACAGAAGAAATTGTTGGTTTATGATGTTCCGTGTAGGTTTAGGATTGTTGGTGAAGTTTTTCATTGATTATTATTGATTGATGAAAATGGTTTCGGTTAATCAGTTACACACCTTCTTACACCTCTCTCTTACACCTTTGTTAAACTGGAGAATTGCATGGCTTTTTAGCCTGCATTTACCCACAGAATCGTAGAAAAAATAATTTTTATTAAAATGAAGAATACAGACTTTTGGCCTCTCCGAAGGAGGTTCAAACTTTTCTTAAATGAAATTAACGTTCATTATTACGTTATATCAAGAATTTTATTTATTTTTTAATAGTTAAAGAATGCAAACCTTTCAAATTTTCCCCAAGAGTGATACTTTTTATCCACGCAGAAAACCTCTGCTTCTGCGTTGGAAACTCGTGGTAGGTAACATTTGAATCACTGTTTGAACAGGATGGTATACAACAATGCATTTTTAATCGTATTTTATAGTTCAAAATTACGAAAATTACAAATGTGTCAAATTCAAATTTGAACTGTCATTCAAGGATAACTAGCGCCCTCAGAAGGAAAATGGCGTCGAAAGTAACTACTGGATTATCTGTCAAAGGTGGCTATTCGGCAGGCTTTATCAGCGCAACTGTCAACGCAGGCGACGGTTATAAGCAACCTTGAAACTTGCGTATGGCGCCTTGCCGGGATCATCATGGCGGAGAGTTTTCAGCAGCCAGTTATTTGGAGACTACTATTTTGACAGTTTTTGGTTGAATTTCATTTCATAATTGCCAGTAGGACAAATTAAAAGCTTTAAATTTTTTATAACTTAACTAAATTAACCCATTTTAAGCTGCTATTCAAGAAAAATAAGTAGGTATACCTACAAAAGACAAAATATTTGTTTAAAAGCCGTGCGTCTGAGCGTCAGTTTTAGCTCTAGCTGTGTTTCAAATCAATCCATTTATCAAAATTCGTTAAAAAATATACGTCACAATGTATATCTATATACTTAAAACCATTGGCGGTTGATGACCTTTTGAAATAGGGGGACACAATTTGATTGATGAGTTAAATATGAAGATATAAAACAGCTTGTTATTACCAATTAATAGACGAAATTGTGTGACGGAAATAAATACAAAAATACATTCAATAAAAATAAAAAAGGATTTCTCCACATACCTTTTTGCCTTCGGTGTTCATGGCATCTAAAAGTTCATTTTGGACAGTTTTAGGCGTTCCTTTAAAAATTGTTGCTGCTTTCAAATGATCTGTTAAAGTCCAATTCAGCCATAAAATCAATCTGACCTCGAAATATACCTGGATTTTGTGATTTCCTACTTTAGTCATGTCCACGTCAAGCAAATTCAAACACTCCACAAAATTTTATGCACATTATCAATCGGCGTAATATATGGCGATTTTTATCGACCCTTGCGTTATGTGCCCGAATATTATTAATATAAGTTGTGTGTAGTTGTTTCCGAATGTCTGTATTACCGAGAAGATTATCCAAGAATATTTATCATACATGTTCGCGCAGAATGAAAATTAAAACCCGCGATACTAACTCAATCCTCCAGAGCACGGTCGCAACGGACTTACAATCCAGTTGTATCAGGCGGATATCAGGCGACTACGACGTGTAGTTTCCATGGCAACGGTGTAAACAAAACATCTAAATCAGACAAGATTCGGTCCATTCGGTCTCTGCCGGGCTTTTATCAGCATTTCATCAGAAATAAGATATCATATATCCAAGACACATCTTTAGATGCAAGTGGAAGTAAGTTTTGATACATTTTATACATACCCCCATTTGCTCCACCTTGGCCACCAACGAGCGAATTTCCACGGGAAGGTCTGGAGCAGGTCTTATCAGGAAAGAAGAGGGCTAGGATTTGTTAATGAGGGATAGAACGTTATATTGTGATTTATCACTGCACTGATATATTTAGAATTGCTTATTATACAGGTGACCCAGAAATATTAAAGAATAAGTAAATTTATTTATTAATTACATCACTAGATTTTCACGAAAAGTTGGGAATACAATACTTAGTGTTATTATTATAAGTATTATACTACACCTATCCAAATTGATATACTTACATGTCCTTACAAAAATCTCAATGACGTCATCAGCAAATTTTGTAAAGAAAAATTCATTTGAAACACACGTGCAGCACGTTTCTTTACATTTACTTTAACATTACATACATTGTTGGCCAAAATAAAGTAGCATACCTCTTCAAACGATTTTTTCAATAAATTTAGTTGTGTAAACTGGACTAAATTGAATAGGTGTGCATTAATAATGACATTTAAACGTCAATACAAATTTGAAAGTTACATTAGGGAAAGAAAAGTGTCCTGCTTTATTTTGGCCGTCACTGTATATATCCTTTCAACTTATAGGGATTCTCATAAAAAATAATATTTGTAAAATCAAATTTTAAATACTTATTTTTAAAAAAGCTGATTATGTTTTATTGTACTTGATGGACTGGAATAGAAGAATAATATATTTTGTCGTTCAGGACAGGTCAGATTTGTCATTTGTATGGATGTGCCCCCAACTTATAAAATCGCAAATTGTCGGAAAGTCCCAATGACAGTTTTGTTTCTTCACAACATATCCTCTTTCTTCTTCTTCTGAAGTTTATTGTAATTTTCGTAACGTCAAGTAAAAATAAACGATAACTTCTCTCGTCGTTAATAAAACCGACTGTACGAAGGGAGAAACCTCCTTCTCTTCGTGGAATTTTCTTGGTAAACTGGCCTTTAACAACAATAATTTTCTCATTGTTGATGATCTTAGCTTCTCCTACTTCGTAGTGGTTGTTATAGCTGAAGTTGTCTGTAACTATCGGTAATCTGTAACCAAAAAAAAAAAAAAATATTGGTAGAAGTCGGCATGTGCAAGGTTCTTGCAGTATTAAAGTCTTACTTAAGGGTATAACTTCCGGACTCATGATAAATGAATACATTCTCTTGAACAGGGTTCTTATTAGTAGATATTTCTGGACCAGGAAAGCTGGAGTTTTCGTAATTTAGAGAACGAGGGGCCCCAAAGCGTTTAACAGACTCTTGCAGAAAATGTTCATCTTCGTCATCTTGAATTTCTTCGTTTAGTGCATCGTGCGTTAGCATTGAAGAAATGAGGTACAAAGATAACTGTAGAAAAATTACGCAACATTTTGGAAACACTCCGCGCAACTTTAGTAAGGTAGTTTTTCAATGCTAGCTTATAACAATAATATTTATAGCACGGTTTATTCAAATATTCCCCGAGAAATCTTTTTTGATAAAGTTTTTCTAAATTGTCAAGTCGCATTGTAAACTTTTTTTACCCTCTTTGGGAATTGGGAGTTGCTTATTCAGTTTGTACTTTATCCACTGACTTTCATGAAGACTAAACTTAGTAAAGTAAATAATTTGTCGTTAGTTCTCAAACTAATGCTGCTGAAAATAATATTACAGTTTTATCATGACTTTCCGGAAGCCCATATATTAACCCAGCAGAAAATGCTTGGGGTTTAATGAGACTAGCCACCTTTCCGCCACAAAACGGGTAGGAGTTAATAGATGGGATTCGGGATAGATTGTTAGCACTAACTCTAGAATATTGCCTGTAATTAACAGGTTCAATGCCCAGACGTCTGAATGTTCTTGTGCAGAACCATAGAGCTGCAATTAATTGCAAGCGTTTTACTTTGTCCTAATATTTTAATCTCGCTGTTTAAATTCAATAACCTAATATGAAAAATAAAAAAAATTAAATAGGTTGCCAACCTGACAAAATGCAAAAAACTAACACTAGGAATTACTACTAAATAATTTTGAAGGATTTTTGAAAAAATAGCAAATTTTTGACTCACCAGTCTCATTGTGTTTGTTCAGCCACAGATATTGCGTGTTTGACTTTTGTTTGTGAACATCAAGGCCGATCGAGTATTCCAAATAAGAGTATCGTCATGGTTAGTTTTCTTGCCTAATTTGCAAGTATAATTTGACTATTTCCTGTCTAATCTTAATATATAAAAATGGATGTTGGTATATATATATATCTGTGATCGATAGACTCCGAAATCGTTTGACCGATCACCATGAAATTTGGCACATGTAAGTGGTTTTTCATGGAGAAGGTTTTTGTGGTATCCGCTTTGCTGTAACTAGCCACTAGATGGCGCTACAGCACATCAACTTCTACACCGTTCAACCGATTCTCATAAAAATTGGTACACGTTGGCATTTGACTATGGAGAATATTTTCGCCCTATCCATTTTGCTGTAACTCGCCACTAGATGGCGCTGCAACACATCAACTTCTGTACCAATCAACCGATCCTCATGAAAATTGGTACACGTTGGCATTTGACTATGGAGAATATTTTCGCCCTATCCATTTTGCTGTAACTCGCCACTAGATGGCGCTGCAACACATCAACTTCTGTACCAATCAACCGATCCTCATGAAAATTGATATACGTTAGTATTTGACCATGGAGAATATTTTCGCGTTATCGATTTTGCTGTAACTTGCCACTAGATGGCACTGCAGCACATCAGCCTCTCTGTTAAAGTATTATGAACTTAGAGAATCAGCGGCACCCATATATCGAATACTACTATATTGCTATCAGGCCTCAAAAGAGTCCGAAAACACAACGGCAAAGCAATATATCGGACCTCTTTGTCTCTCTATAGTACCAAACAGTACTGCTCATATACTCGTACTTGCTTGATTTTTAGTCGATAACGTGACTAGATGTGTTTTGACATTTCATACGTTCGCTTCTATTTTGTGTACGTGCGCACAGACCCTCGGTACTTTTCTAGACAGAAAACAATATCTTCCGGCTCCCTTTGTCCGTGAACACCGTTTCTATGTTACTTCTGAAGAGTTAGCAAGTATTAGATATATGGCGGCACCAATGACAGCATTGTTTTCGTTGGTATTACAACAAAAATCGTATTGACCGCAAAATAAAATCATTAGTGATGTTCACTGTCTACAATCCTCAGTAATAACAAAGAGTGAATTACTAGAGATTATTGAAAATGCCATCCAAAAAATCAAACTGATTCCGCGCATTCCAATGGTTCCTACTGATTTGCCCTTTATACATTCAAACGACTACAGTTTCCTGTGCGTCTTGCTTTCGCGATGGCAATCAACAAAGCCCAAGGGCAGTCTCTGCGCGTTGCCGGATTAAATTTAGGAAATCCATGTTTTTCGCATGGTCAACTGTATGTTGCTTGCTCCAGAGTAGGAATTCCAAAAACTCTGTACGTCTATACACCAAATCGAAAAACCAAAAATATTGTTTACCCACTAGCGTTACGATAGATGTTAGTATTGATTAAAATGTGTTCAAGTTGTTTCAGTTATAGTGGACCAAAAGCTATAAGGTTATATGGCCATCATAAAATTATCCCATTGTGTCGAAGTTAAGTTGTTTACAATAGAAAAGGTTTTAGGGTCGTAAATAACGTGTCCAATGGAGCTCGACCGGCTGTTGTGGTTTCGTTCAGGGACGGCTTTCACTAAATATGTAAATCCACCACTCCATTATTTCTTTACTACCTGCAGCCGCTGAGGGTTCCGAAATCACCACTCGCTTTGAAAGCCGGCCCTGTTAAATATGAGCAAGAAATGTTGAGAAGACGATTTATTGCCAACCGGGTAAGCTTAGTGCGAACCACACAAAGGGGGTACTTATTTGCGGTCAACTACTTTTATAATGGTCATATAACCTTATATCTTTTGGACTAGCATATATAGCGCATACAATAGTCAAAAATTTTGTTCATTCACGTGAATTACTAATACAAAAATGTGTACATTGTGTATACTAATGAAAATAAATGGAATAGCATCAATATGAGTTATCTTATTATTCAGTTTTCTACAACGCATTCTGCGCTCCAGACCATACATTTATATCCACATATATACAAAGTAAATATATACACAAGCAGGACAACGTCTGCCGGGTTCCGCTAGTAATTTATATACCAAATTGTAATTTTCGTGACTGATCTGTGGCAAACCTCCTTCAACCCAAACTTTACTTTCTATAATTTATTTTTCTACTAAAGTTGGTCACAAACAATTGATCGCAACACAAATCGTCGCAAGACAATTCGTGTTCTACGATAACCAATCGCTAAGGACATTAATTGATCAGTGAAAATTAAGTACTTATTTTCTTTTCATAAAATTATTTTTTTTGTATTCTGATTCTGATTCTTAATTTACGACAAACTTAAAATTGAAGTAACATACCGAATGGCTATTAATGTTTGTGAAGTTTTTGTCAGGTTGGCAACACATTTAAAATGTTATGATGGCATACCTGATGTCAGACTGAAGTTTTGAACATCAATTCAGTCGCTGCCATCTTGTTATTGGTTTCTGGGCGCATTTATGTCAAATTCGACAAGTGTGATTTAACATTACTGCCAATAATTCATAACTGCCAACCGAAAAATTTGATTCAATCATTAACTGTTACTCGGCAGTATTCAGTTGATATTAAATCCGTCTTTTATAAAAAAAATTGCACACATTCGTCATGGTGTACATATATACCATAAAAAAAATAATAAATAAAATAAATATAAGATTATATTAATACAACATATTAAATTTAATACTTTTTCGAAAATGCTGGATATGTTTCGTTGTACTTCAGGAGCGAGGGAAGTTCTGTTGAAACAACATTCGACCAGTTTTTTTATGCCGTGAGATATTTAACCATATGTCCTGACATGCCTGACCCGTGCATCGTATTACTCTAGAATCCTCGAATTATTGCTATATTTCCTCGACCTGTACTAGTGGGCTCATTGACTATGCATCATACTGTAACCTTTCCTTTCTTGTTGAGGTTAAGAACAAAAATAAAACCAGATACTTAAAGCGTTTATCTTTTTATTCTTAGTATACACATACAAAATAGGTCGGTAAAACCTAAAATATTTAATAGGTTTTTTAAAGATTTGAAGCATTATAAAATCTTTGGCACAACATTTAATGACAAACGTGACTTTAACACTAACGTGGTTTACGTTAAATATCACAATAATATTAATATTTTGTACTTTAAATACACTTATTTGTTTGACGTAGTAACTCCTCAATGAGAATATTCTGATTTATTCATAACTTCACGCTCTCGCAGTCCCTACTGTTACTATTAACATAATTATTGTCTTTCCCGTTCTTTTCCACTTTGCTTAAAAACGGATTACTATCCCTCAACACAGTTTTGTTCTGCGGCATATTCACGTAATTATCCGACGATTTCACGATATCCTTATCCGAGATCACTTGATCCCGTTCCACTATAGGCGGCAGATGATAAGAAGGATTCGAAAAACTGTTAGGCGCCACGGGACTGTTGCAACTCGAACTGTCACCGTCTGATTCGCTCTGTATTCGCAAGATCGGAATAAGCTCATTTCCCGTGCCTTCTTCCGACCTTTTGTTCGTTTTACCAGAAGCGTCAAAACTAAAAACTCGGTCGTCGTCAGCTCTCGGACTGAAGATGTGAGCCGAGTTCATGCTGAGGTAGCCTGAAGTGTCGTCGCTTGGTGCCAAATCGTTAACGTAGTTACGAGGAGAAGAAAGGTTCTCGAAGTTTGGAGGACTCAACATCACGAGGTAGTCGCTGTGACCTTCTTCGAGTCTCTGAGTGTTCATCACCAAATAGGGGTCGTTCAAGTCGATGTAGTGTTTTCTGACTCTGTCTTCCAGGAGAGATCCTATGCGTTCCGAGAGTTTACTGAAAGAGGGTCGGTTGATGGGTTTGGCGTGCCAGCAGTCTAACATCATTTTGTAGCTGAAGGAATAGAATTAGATGGGGCGGTTACCGTTCACTGACTTACATTTCTTTGGGTGAATATTCAGGGGACTCCATTCTGTACCCATCTAGGAGTTTGTTGTACAGTCGTTCGTCGGCTTCCATTCCCGGGTAAGGGGTTCTCGCTAGTGAGAAAAATTCCCAGAGGACTATACCGAAAGACCAGATGTCTGACTGGGTCGAGAACACTTTATCCCGGATGGATTCGATTGCCATCCACTTCACCGGTAGAAGTCCCTTCGGAAAATTTTTGTAACAAAGAGACCACAAAGTGTAAAACACTTACGTCTCCCTTCTTCTTGTAGTTGTCGCTCTTATACATACTTTTGGCTAGACCAAAGTCGCAAATTTTGACCACGTTATGCTCCGCTAGGAGAATATTTCTCGCGGCCAAATCACCATGGAGGACTCTGCGCGAAGCTAAATATTCCATTCCCCTGGAAACTTGAAAAGCCCAAGCCAAGAGGTCTTTGGTGCAGATTGGTTTGATGTTTCCTTTGTAGTCCCCATGGTAGTTGGAACGCCATTCTGGTTGAACGCTGCTGTTGTTGCTAAGAATAACTTCGTCGTCACCTTAAGGGACAAATATGTTGTAAATCAAAATTGGAATGATACTAATATTAATATTAATAAAAACGATAAATATCATAATAACAGAAAGAAATCCAAAGCGGTTAATAGAAGAACAGCAGATAACAAACTGTTTACCTGAACTTGGTGACATGGTGATGTCTGTTTTGCCAGTAGCACCGTTATAATTGTTACCTCTAAAATCCATCATGTGGGCCACTGGAGAGCCACTATTTTGTGAAAATGAAAGTGCTGCGTATTTCAAATACGGCGACTGAGAATTACTACAAAACAAGCTTTGATTTACTTGTAAAGACAAGACAGTGTTTTTTCATACCTTCTGTTACAAGAAACGGAATATGTTCTTTCTAACTCTTCTTGTCCAATAGTGTAGTCAATGTGGTAAGTTTTCGGATCGACTTGGTCAATAAAATTTTCTCTGTGTCGCAACAGATAGTTTTGAATATTTCCAAAACGACAAAACTCTACAATGACGAGTAGTTCTCCTGAAAAAGAAACCATTACTTTTGAAGAAACAAAAATCGGTACTCACTTTTTGCAACGTTTTTGGTACAGGCGCCGAGTAAATTAACGACGTTTAAGTGTTTGCCCAAATGCACCATGATCTTCAATTCAGAAGCTAACGCTTTAATGTACGTATGATCAGCATTCTTTTTCACCATTTTTACAGCCACCGTGGTACTTTCTTCACCGTCTACTATACCTTTCGCTACTCCTTTCATCACTACGCCGAAAGCTCCCGAACCTAGCTGTTTACCTAAATTCAACACCTACAGTAAGTCAATATTCCACGGAAGTGTTAACACAAACCTAATTTTAATTTTTCAACAGGAAACTCCCATTTTTTGTCGTACGGTAAAAGTTCGGCTTGGTCATCAATAGCCAGGTCTGGGTTTAAACTTTCTATAGCCCCCTTCTCGAAATTTGCTAAACCAGCTATTCTTAGTTCTCTTTGAAGTTTTTTCTCGTTTCGTATTTTTATCGTCATACCGATACAAAATAGGAATGCTAACATACATAAAACGACGATCGTTATCCATAGATACAAGTTATTTGTATCTGGTTTGTCTGAAAAAACTCTTTAAGAAATTGTTTACTAGGTTTGCATTCTTACTTTTAAATTTCAAATTTACTTCTCTTGAGACTCTCCCCGCTTTGTTGGAAACCTCACACTTGTAAGCACCTTCATCTTTGAAGTCGAGGGAAACAATGTTCATGTATTGGCCGTCATTTTTAAAATGTGTTCTGTTAGAAGGGTGCAACTTTTCGTTGTTCTGGAACAGAGAAATGTCGATATTTAATTTAAGAACTGGAGCAACATTTCCGAATGTCGTGGAATCTTTTCGAAAGAATGGAAAATAAGAAAAAATTACTCACTCTGTACCAAATAATTACGGGTTTAGGCACACCTGTCACGTTACAGTAGAATTCGACACTGTTAGGTAGTCTCAACTCCATATCTTTTGTTAGGTTGGTACTCACAATCACGGGTTTAGATAGTTCTGCGATTTAAAAATTAGGAATTAAGTTAGACGGCGGGGAAAAATTTACCTGAAACTATTAAAGTCATGTTCTTGAAAACCGACATCCCACCTTTTGGCTTAACTTGACAACTGTAAGTACCGGCATCAGAAGACTGAACTTTTTCCAAATTCAGTACAGCGCGATTTGTGTATTCGGTACGACTTTGATCAATTCTGTACCCTACGAGAAATAAATTAGAAGACGTTATAAGGGTTTCAACACGTACTATCGCCATATTTCATTAGCTGGTTGTTGCGTATCCACTTTAAGTCTGAGGTGTAATTGTACACCGAAACTCCACATATCACATTCATGGACTCTCCAACTGCTACTTCTACCGTGTTGTTTTGTACGTCCACGTTAACGGTAGGATCAAAACCAAATATATCAAAACCATTTTTGACATCTAAAAATTAACAGTCGATTTTCCTTTTATAACTATGCGTAGACCAACCAGTCACATAATACGTCTTTACAGCACTATCTTCACCAATTGAATTCACAGCTAAGCACTTAACGTAACCTGTATTTAAAGATTTGATTTCTAGACAGGAGATCACCTGTAGTCCTTTTTTAAACGACCGGGTTTCATTCATCTAGAAAATAATTTTGACTGCTATACAAACGTGTGTGCTTACTTACTATATGATATGTACATGAGTTATCTAAACAAGGTTTAAATGACCAGTCAATCGTTGCGGGAGGATAAGCGGCCACTGTACACTTAATCGTATCTTTTTCATTCACCATGTGGTAGGTACTACCTTCTAAATGCACTAGAGGTCTATCCGTCACGTTGAGAAACAGAGATATAGTATCATTTTCACGACCATTTTTCGCTAACAGAGTGTAGTTACCATAATCTGTTATGGATATATCTTTGATTTTTATAACAGCATTTGTCGCAGAAAAGGTTACATCGTATTTGTCTGACATCATCGGTGTAATAGGTTCGTTCCTGTTATTTAACCAGGAAAGTGTGGGCTGTGGGTGGCCGTCGACGTTGATACGCCACATCACGGCATCATCACCTGCCATTGCCGAAATAGTGTAGAGATTGTTATCTTCCGTTAAGTTGATAAAATGTTCTGTGGGAGCTGAAAACAAAGTTTTTATAGTTCGGCAAGCTTGAAAATTCTGCTCACTTACCATAAACCGTAACATTCAAGCTTCCCAAACTGGCGTGGTTTTGGCTGTCGCTAACGTTGCAGTAATACATACCTTTATCTTTCAAAATAGTTGCATTGATGGTAAGATTCTGAGTGAGAATTGTTTGTCCAGGAATCTTCTGTTGAGTTGATAACCGCATACGGTTGGACTGCATCATTAAAAACCATTTCAAATAAAGCAAAACCGAAAATATATAGGACTTACATCAAGTGGTCCAGTAGGCGTCGTCCAGACGATATTGACATAAGTCGACGACTTTATCCTACATTCCAAAATCAGTTTATCGCCCACTATCGTATGACCACCACTGAGCTCTTTCATCGATGGTTTCGGCAAAAAGTGATTGATTTCTACAATCATCCGTGCAAATGAAATTAACCCGTTTAAAAAAGCAAAAGCAAAGCAAACACCAAACCAACACCAAAACTGGACTAGACAGAAGCCCCACAACCACGAAATACAACACCAACTTCTACTTACGAATGACATTAAGATAAATACATTGGTCGTATTCTGAACTGCCGAATAAAAAATTGCAACAGTATAGATCCTGATCACTCAGATAACCAACGTAAAATCTAAATCCAGTTTTCGGGTTATATGTGGCGTTATCTATCTGGAAGTTGAAGAGAAAATAATGTTACAACCCTGGCGAAACCATTTTTTGTGAAACATGGAACGATTTTCGCTAGGGTTTTGGTTATGGTACGGTACGTACGTTCCACGTCCAAAATCACTGTTCGGTTAAAATGTATGGAATCTCGAGAGAAGACGCAAAGGAAACTGATCCCTCCCATGTCTTTGGTGTTGTTAGTTATGATGCCATAGTGGGGGTGGTAGCGATACATAATTCCTTCTTCGTCGATAATGCCCAAAAGTAACTTAGGTTGCTATTAGATAAGTTGTAGAACTACATGACTGTTAGTATCCAGGCAATCTAAAGTGCTCCCGGTTGTTAATGAAAATTATTTACAAGCCGGAAGTAGTTAAAGAAAATTGTTTTGTAGACAAGCATGGAGAGTTTGAGTTAATCGTAGCTATGTAACAAAGCTATTGGGGGGATTGAGTATGATTATTTAGCTGATAGATTTTTGTGGTGTATTTTAATCAAAAAACAGCTGATACTGACGAGAGATTTTGTGATATGTCAGCACCATGTGGTCAAAATTATGGGAAATAATTATCTGGTATATCAAATTAGTTCCGATTGAATATGTATCCTTTTCAGGGCTCTCTAGGGTTTTCTCCCATTGAAAAATACCACACTAACTCGATAACATCTGTAAAAGGGTACTGACTCTTGTTAAATAGTACTGTAATTATTAAAATCAATATATTTTTCTACGATCACTACTGTAAATCGTTAAGATCACACAACTCGCTAATCATGTATGCGTGTCCTTACGCACAGCGTGCGTAAGAAAAGCAAATCGCACAGTTAGGGATTTTTCGATTTATTCAGTTTAGGTTGGTAGTGAAAATGACAAGACGGACAGGCAAATACAAAATTGTGAAGCACTGTCAGCGTTACTGTTAATAAAAGAGGCATAATCAAAGAATTTTAAAAGAAGAAAACGAACAAGGTAACATTTACTGCAAAAAATATCAACATTTCTCTCTTTTTACGGATTCTATTTAATTGTAGTCTAAAATGTCTAGCGATAGTGATGAATTAATGTGCACGCCGCCGGAGATAATTGAAAAGGCCAAAACGGCTATCGACAATCTATTGCTCACAAAGTCGCGTGAAAGATATGAAATCGTCTACCAAAAATTTATGGAATGGAAAATAAAAAATCAAGTAAATTCGTTGTCAGAAAACGTAATGTTGGCATATTTTGAAGTGTTGTCAACTACAATGAAACTATGTCACTATTTCAGAACATAATTTGACTGCATCCTGTAGTCGAGTACAAGTAGCCACAAAACTAATACTACCGACCATTCCCTTGTGTTTAACAAGTGTACAGTGACAATAAACAATTACTACAAATAATTACAATATCTAATAAAACTAAAATGTTAATGTTTATGAATAAAATGATGGAAAATATTTTTTTCTTTGTCTGTGCTCGTAGAAAAAGTATAGTACATAATTCGAGTTGTAAAGCCCTTACGCACTCATGGAAATACGCACTCGCCGCTTCGCGGCTCGTGCGCAACTTTTTCCATTCGTGCGTAAGATGCTTCTTACAACTCTTATTACGTAATATACTATTATATCTTATGTAAATTTTATAAATTTTCTGAAAATGTTAAGAAATCGTAAAAAAATGAAATGAATTTGCTAATATTTCAGTGGTTAGGTAGTTCATCGCTTTTGTCGTTAGAAACCTCAATGGTTTGTGGGCGAAAAATTTCTGCGAAGGCTTGTAGTTCTAGAATACTTTGATTATGACCAGTGTTATCGGTAATAGTTGATCTTTCGTAATTTATGATAGTGACCAAGCCGGTTTAGTAAAAATTAGCCTCTTTTAGTATATGTGTTTAATGTACGTTTCTTCTTCGTCTTGTTTGATCCCATACCTTCGTGCGTGCGGATTTTTTTTATGTAGATACGTATACCAATAAACCGGTTTTTACCGAAAGTAACTTGCCTGCATCGGCCCGTCGGACGTATTAAACGACGCATCTATAGCATCGTCGTCCGTATCGAGCACCGTTTCCGAACGTACGTCGGGGAGCGAGGGATTTCTCAGACCCGACGTGGAGGGCATGAGTTCCTACAAATTTTTTGTCGTATGTAGCATGTAGCTTCGTTAGACATAGTTAACACGGAATCCGAGTCATTTTACCTCCGGTGACGTCCGTTGTTGGACTTCTTCCCCTGTTTGTAATTGTCTCTCGCGCGCCTCCACTTCTAGTAATTGCTCCAGCAACCGTTTTTGTCGCTTTCGGTTTTCTTCGAGTTGTCTAGTCAACATTTCGCGATAAGCTTCTTCCAAAATGCGTTTTTGTCTGAGTCTCCTGTTCGCTTCTCTGATCTCGGCGATCTACGAAACGTTCGGACGCTGCTTTAACCCACGTTTTCCGTACTCTCGGCTATTACTTACCAACCCCATTCGCGCTGAGAGTGTAGGAGACAGAGGAGCGTCGAAATCATCGTTTTCTTGCGACATCTTTGGTTTTTTGTTTTTTAAAACGTGTCGACAGACCGACAGGTTGAACGGTACAGTGATAGAGTTATCGTCTGCTAGCGCGTTTGCAGGTAATGATATCCCATTTCGCGTTCCTTATTATTCGTCATAGTCATAGTCATCGTGTGCGAGTGCATGTGTTTGCAGGTACCTAAGTACTATCAGATTTCGCATTCCTTATTATTCGTCGTGTACCTAATTACAAAGCTGAATTTTTTCGTAGCGTAACGACGCTCGACTTGTTCGCGCGAACGCCTCCGTTTTTTCGGTAGAGGTGTACTTTTACAGCGGGCTGTTTGCATCTCATATTTTTTTTTAGCGTTCCCAAGTTTATTAATCTCTCTTTTCTGTGTTATCGCTTTGGTCGCATTTCATAGCATCGCCTCACACAGAAAACATATCCCGTGTCATCGGTGGCACGGGTGGTGCTTTTCTATTCGGTCTTCAAGTCAGTTAACACGATGGAGCCCAACATGCGACGAGGTGCGAGCGTTGATTCAGTTGTTAGTGCCGGGGTCATACCACGTTATCCCGACGACGCTTTACGACCGAACGATGGGTATTTTTTTTTTCGCATCGTACATGCAGGTAAGGACATCAAAGTATCGTCGTTCGATATTTACACGCTCAAATTATTATTATTTTTTTTATTTTACATTACATTACATACACGTGTTTTGATACCCTATAACATATGATACACAACAAAATTTATCGTAAAAGATTGTTTATATTCCTTGTACATCTGCGCCCAACGCCATCGTGTAACATAAGTACGCTAACGAATTCGGCGTAAAATTTTGTCGCGCATTTTTAAGGGCCGTCAATTTTGGGGAATAATTATTTTCGTGCCGGGCTGCATCTGCGCATGTCGCCGTCGGTTTTCGTAAGTGCGACGCACTTCACGGATCCGTTCGCATCGACAAAAATCCCTATTTTACAGGGCTTGAGATCAGTCACATTCATGACGACGTGAGTCAAAACTTCCATCGTCCCTAAGTAAGCTAAATCACCCACAAAAATAACGTTGAACCGCACGCCGCGTATTCGCGACTCCTTATTCGGCAACAGCGGTATGTCTCGATCGGATACTCGGGCCATCTGCTACACTCTCTTTTTCCTTCATCGTTGGGATCTCCTTCGACGTATATGTCCACGTCATGGTACTCGCGTGTACGCTTCCATAGATATGCTGTGAACCAGTGGCGACTCGTGAAGTTTTCTTCAGAGGAGGCTCAAATTTGAAAAGCACTACTTTTTATATCTTTCATTATCTGAATAATTTTTTTTGCCATGCCCACGAAAAGAACACTCCTGCGTTGATAGATAAACTATTGCATCGATTAGTCTTTTCAAAATTGCCCTATTTTTACCAACTTTCTCGTTATAGTTCTCAATATCCCTCTTATGAGCGGAATCTAAAGTAGTAGAAGACAATATGTGTTTATCACTTGTGAATAATACACAATTCCAACAGTATAATTTGTTTCTTAAAAAACTGAAGCCGTTAACCATTTAGTTTTATTATAATTATTTTCATGAAATGCTCTGTTTTGCTTTTTACCTGTCATTACCATTAATGGGAGTGGTGATGTTGGTCTCCCCTTTTGTTTTATAGCGATCTTTTTATCACAATCAAGGCTACTAAATTCATTTTTTCATAGATAATAAAATTTACGTATCTGCACATAAGACTGAATTATTTTCGTTGCTCATTCTCGTTAAGTATAAGTAATATTATATACGTAGGTACTAAAGCCTAAACACCACTCACCACTGAATAGGGAGCACGCGAAACCACGTAAATGTTTTTCCAATGTACATCCGATCGCTCCAATTAATAAGAAAGAGATAAAATTATCCGCGCGACGTGATCTGAAAAGAGATGAACTAGCCGGAGGCTAGCGGCCTGAAGCGGCACCCTGATCAACGTTTTAGCCAATGCAGCACCGAATGACGATGCGTCAAGGTTGCGGTCTCAATAGTAAGTTGCATTCTCGGCGGAGGTTAGCCTTTATCGCTGAAGCCAAACGCGGAGTGGTCTGAATTATGATTGTAAGGGCGCAAATATAATTTTTTTCGACATTTTAACCTGATATCTGATGAAAGTAAATTAAATCAAACAAAATATTCTGAAAAGTAACAAATGTCTAAAAAAATACAAATTCTTTCATCGAAAAAATTAGAGGAAGCTCAGCCCCAAAAAACAGAGGAGGCTCAGCCTCCCCTGCCTCCTCTGAGGAGTCGCCACTGCTGTGAACCCTCCCGCGATAAAACATCTACGTTTGTTCACGTTTGTTTGGAACTCTAACTCTTCGCGAGCCACTTCTAGAAGCACCGCGTCGACGTCGTCCAGGTCGGGCAACTGGCGGGCTACGAAGTTAACGTGCTTTGGCAAGTACGCCATCTTCTCCTTGACGATGAGCGTCTCCTTGACGGTAAACACCCCGGGCTCTTTCTCGTTCAAATCTAAATACGTTTTTTTTATTTTAAATATATATATGTAGAGCAGGGTAAGATGGGGTTTTCTTTCTTACCTAGCGTATAAAACACGCACAAAATTATTATTAATAATAATAGTTATTCATTTATGCGAAACAAGAAATCACACTACGCACGCATAGGGATGTTTACGGTATAGCCCCTAGAAATACATAGTATCGTCACCGTGGAGCAAACCTGGCGGAAACTTAACAAAAACAAAAATTATAAACACCATTTGACAGACCGCGAAATTTAAAATGGTTTTATGTTGGATTTAAAGTTTGTACTTTATATACAAAATTTGGAGTTTTAATTTGAATAAAATATAAAATTTAATCAATAACATCTTATTTAATAATTATTAGTAATATTAATTGACAATTAATTGACTTTAAACAAAAATACCACGCGACAACAACGGTTTACGCGGTGTCAACTCTCTGCTGACACAGTTTGGTTCCAAATCAGGGGAATTTTTTGCGTTACCAACTGCATTTGCTCCACTCGTACAACAATGGATGACGGTACTATGTATTTCTAGGGGCTATAGTTTACGGCAATGACGTATCGGACCTCACCGCTAATCGCGATCCTTATATAAAAAACAGGTGAATCACGTCAAAAACAACAACAACAACAACAACCATATCATCGTCATGTCTATTACGTCACAAAAACACCGGGTGCGCCAAGTTGATTACGTCACAAAAACTCCAGGTCCGCCATGTTGACTACGTCACGAACACCCCGGGTCCGCCATGTTGATTACGTCAGGGAGGGTTCGCCATGTTGATTATGTCAGGGAGGATTCGCCATACAGGCATTTGATGATTCATTGCAAAACATAGTATTTGTGACGTCACGAAATCACCTTGATGACGTCAAAAATTCCCCTACTGTCCGCCATATTGATTACGTTACGAAAACCCCGGGTCCGCCATGTTGATTACGTCACAAAAACTCCGGGTCCGCCATCTTGATTACGTCAAATTTCCCCCTCCACAGGCCGCCATCTTGTGACGTCACAAATACCCTGTTTGCGATGAATCACCAATAGCCCGTACTTACTACTGTTATTCTAAGATTATGTTTTACTCATCACCTGCGGTTGTATGCATAATTCCAATAAGAATGCATAACATAAAGTACAATACACTGATCATAAAAAGTGA